TCTCGCAGCACCCTGCCCAATCAGGTACGGCGGTGTCCGTGGGGCTGGTGGATGAGGCTGCAATCACGAGTGAGGCTTCGAAGTGGTAGGTCGAGTTGCTGAGCCAAATTGGAGAGGAAGGCGACAAGAGTTTGGAGAGAAAAAGAAAAACAACGTGGTGAATGGGGGAAAAAACATATGTTCCGATACCGGGAGTCGAACCCGGGCCGCCTGGGTGAAAGCCAGGAATCCTAACCGCTAGACCATATCGGAGCGCTGAGTACCAGTCCATTTTTCACAGCCAGAAACCTACTTTCCATTGAGTGGTGCCAAATTTTGAGTTCGCACCGTACGCGAGCATGGAAAAAGAGAGAAAAAGATATCTGTGCATCGACCGGGAATCGAACCCGGGTCACCCGCGTGGCAGGCGAGTATTTTTTTTTTTTCTCTTTAAAAATTTTATTCACATAATATTATTTACATTACACACATATATCACAAATGGAATGAATGGAGTTTTACGTCCTTCTTTTCCGCACCATGTGGGCTAATGGAGACGGCTATACATATATCACAGCCATCTAATGAAATAATTCATATCTATACATCTTTAAAAGTAGGTCTGAGTAATAAAATGGAATGTTATTTACAATTTAAAATTGATTAATGTACATTAAAATAGTTAATGAAATGTAATGAGATTGTGAAATGTATCTCTTAATACATGAATCTTAGATTTCGAAAACAAAATAAGAGTCAAGGAAAGATACTTTCAAAACTTAATAATTATTCTGATGATATGTAATGCTCTCAAGGAGCATTTAAGATTTAATAATTAAAAGTCCAAACTAATTGAGCCATCCATTTCTAATAAGATAAGATAAGAGGGTGATATAAAGTCTTTGATAAAGTTTCTATTTGAATTAGTGTAAAAATGTTTGATGAAATATAAACTTTGACATAACATATATTTAAATAATTTGATTATATCCACATTGGAATTAGCATTATCTGTAACAATATACCTTCTATGAAGTATTACGTTACGGGCTACACTTAAAATAGCATTGCATAGCCTAAAGGGTTGATTTTTATTTCTTGTCTGTAAAGCCAAGACATATGTACAACTGCAAATCATCGTCTCTTATAGGCCTGGACAAAATATCTGATAGGATTAATTTCAAGAGGTGATTAAGGAGTGATAGATCTAAACAAGAAAACAATAAATGATTTAGATCCTCTGATTCCTCGTGGCAAACTTGACAAATATCGTCACCTGTCTTACCTATCATAAATAGTCTAGATCTTGTCCAGATAATGCTGTGAATGATTTTAAAATCTAAATCTATTTGCTTGGCATCTTTAAAAGACTCTTGTGTATTCTTACAGACTATAGGCCAGTTAATATTGTTAAAGAGAGCATCCCATTTTAAAAAAACCAGTAGGAACAATACACTTACTCTTAATTAATATATTATACAGGGTCTTAGATGTGAACTTATCAAATTTGAGTTCCTCACCATTGATTATACAGATCGGCTCTGGGGCACATTTTGAAGTATATTCTTCTGTATTGCAGGAATTGCAGATTGAATAATGTCTAGCAATCTTGGCAATGTAATCTAATGTACATTCCGATTCATTAAAATCATCTACAATAACACCTAATGGTAAAAATCCTGGAATTACATAGTAAATTATATCATATATTGTCTTGATACCATAACTACTAAATAGTTTACATTTAATTGGTTTATTTTCGTGTTTTATTAAAGGATTATCAAACAAAGGCTGTAGTGATACATCATATAGATTATTTTGGGGGAGGTCGGCTATCGTTAGTTAATAAATTCCAAGCATTGAATAAAAGTTGATAGAAGGGAGGGAACTCTTTTATCATATCCCTACTAGTAGTAACTTTAAGTAGGTCTGTAACTTGACTTTTAGCATACTTTAACGTGTAATAATTCAGGACTGACTTCCAGATTGAGAAAAAATCTATGCTGCAAACATTCTTGAGTACTTTCAGTCCAAATGCATTAGATTTCAACTTAATATCTGGTAAGCCTAAACCACCATTTGATTTACTATTTATTACACTAGAATATTTTATTTGAGCTGGCTTATTGTCCCAAATAAAATTAGTAAATAGGGTTTGAATCCTATCAGCTATCCCATTAGGTATACATAAAACAGTAAGTATGATATAATTGTGTGACTTAAGGAGATTGGATAACAGTGACTTTATCTACAAGAGTTAAATTTCTGGTCTTCCACATATTAAGAATACATTGTATTTTACTTATTTTTGGGTTCCAATTTAATTCGTCACATAATGCTGCATTATTACCTAAATGCACACCTAAGATTTTAATATGATCAACTTGCTTAAGAGGAACATCAAGCTTTAATATTTCATTCTGCACTTTACTAAGAGAAAGGATCTGACTTTTATCCACATTAACTTTTGCACCTGATGCTTTACAATACGGTTCTATAATCTTAAAAACATTATTAACAGAATCTAAATTAGAAAAGGTAAAATTAGTATCGTCAGCATATTGGAATATAATGGATGTGACATTACTAAACTTTATAGGGATGCCCTTCAGAGGGGATAATTTAACGAGGGTATTTAAGGGTTGTGCACATAAAACATATAACATTGAACTCATGGGGTCACCTTGTCTTATGCTCCGGGTAATGGGAAAGAAGNGGTGATAAATGACCATTACACTTAACAGTACTAAAAATACCGT